TCCCAGAATTCCTGGCTGGGGAATTCTGGGGGTTGAAGTCCACACATCTTCAAGCTGCCAAGGTTGAGAAACACTGCCTTTCCATAACCTGTGCCCCACTCCTCTGCATTCGGGACTCTATCTCTTATTTTGCCAGAATTCCTTGCCCTGGCACCATTTCAGGGGAAGGGGAAATGGGGATTCTCAGCAAGCTTTAAGGACAGATATTTGGGTTTAAGATAGCCTTAAGTCAGTTCAGTGGGACCTTCTCCCAGAGGCACATGAATTGAATTTTGACGTGTGTGTTGCAATTGCTCCTTTTGGCAGGTAGGTTTATTTTATTGAGCTAATCCACTAATTTAATTTACAGAAAGGGATATTCATTCTTTACCACAATCATTCCCAATCTGGTGACTTCCCAATGTATTACTTAAGCAATGCCTAGTTTGTCTTCAGCTAGAAGGCTAAGAATTCCAAGCAGGCTTTGTTGTCTTTGTGCATCTGGAGGGCACCAAGTTTTACAATATCTCACAAAAAAGTATTCATTCCAAATCTTGATCAGGTGATGCTATTATATATTCCAGACTGGATACCACTGTTTCTTCACTCTGTTGAAATATGGAGCAGAATGCAATTCTCCATGTGTGCTACTAAAGGATACTGATTCATCCACTTCTGTTTCTCTCTCGCTCTTTCTACAGATCAAGACATGGTTCCAAAACCGTCGGATGAAGCTGAAACGTCAGCTTCAGGAGATGAGGCCAGAGCCCTCCTTCCATGGTGTACCATTTTATAGTCACATCCCTTTTGGATCTCAAAGTGGTCCCTTGTCCTATGTTTATTCACCACACCAACAGACTTTCAGCAGGAGGGAATCTTCTGCTATTCCTTCTGGGATTCCTTTCCCTCCAATGCCACCTCCTAGCCTGGATCCCAGAAACACCTCTGGAGGACAACCAGGTGCTATCTGGCCAATGCCTATTCCCTACTTTGTGGGGTACCAAGACCCGAGAACAGTGTTCATGACTCTCTGAAGGACTTTGATGACCCATAACATGATCAATTTGCACTAAAATTTGTTCATCAAGTGATTATCAAGAGCTGTAAAAAATCTTTGGTCCTGGACATGTATGCTGTGAAGAGCTTTTGCACAGAGACATTTACATATTGGGTGAGTGGGAAAGTGATACTAATGGAAATACAATGCATGCAGTATTGCTAATAGATTCAACAAGATCTTTTTGGATCTTAGATTGTCTAATACAAATAAGGACTTGATCTGGAAGAATACAGACAACTCTTAAGATGTCTCTCCTTGCCTAACTTAAATTTGGACATATCAAATTTACCTGCAGTTGGGGGAAACAGGCCTTAAACTGGGTTTCTCTAATTAGCTTATGCTTGATAAGAAGTTCACGAATCTCTTGTTATGAGAGTTGTGCAATAAGCACATCAGAGATAAGTTACAAGCCATGTGTTTTTAACACTGCAAAGGCAATTCAGAAGCAAGTGATATTCTGCAAAAAAAAAAAAAAAAGTTTGGCCTTTATTCACGCCCAATAACAAATCTGTTGTGTTGGCAAGTAATATATTCATTATACTATGTTATTCATAGGCTATCTCCAACCTTTTAATTCTTCATTAGAGCTAGTGGCATGATATAAAGCTTGATTTATTGTTGAGTATTATTAATTTGGGGTTCATTGTTGAGATGCTGAAAATAACTAGAAGAATATATGAAACTGACATTTATTGAGTCAGACCATTGGAGTCTCTACACAATCATTCTGCCCCTGGCTAGCAGCATCTCTTCAAGTTTTAAGGCATTAACTTTTCCAGCCCTCTCTGGAAAGGCTGCAGTTTGAATGTGGGCCCTTCTACATATGCTCAGTCAATGGAGGACCTGAAGGGGAACCACTTGTGATTGTAGATATGCATGCATCAGGTGGCATGCAGAGAGTGTTATAATCATCATAATAGTTGTTTTGTGCTCTAAGTGTTCAGCCATATGGATGCATTATTAGCATAATCCTTGCTACAGCTGTATGTGCTAGGTCAGAGCTGTGGTAAAGTAGAGTTAGCTGAACCTGAGATAATCAGTTTTCACATGCTCCCCAAAGTGACATTTGGGCACCAGATAACTCACAATATCCAAGTGGCTGGTAAGCTTGAGAGAAATCTATCTGGATAGCAAGACAAATCCTCTTAAAGATGCCCTCACTTTCTTCTTTCCAGAGTCACTCCAAGCTATTGAATCAGTTCCCACAAGAACTGTATCCAACTCCTCTTTCTCCTTTTAGAAAAGGAATCAAGTCTTTCCTTTTTACCCAGGTTTTCCAGATTAAACTGGTTCATGGTGGTTTTTAATTGTTTTTATCTAATTTGGTTTTCTGATAGATTTTCATTGTACTCTCTTGAATGCTTTCTGGGCACAAAGTCAGGATATAAATGATATACATACATAGTCTCATAGTATGTAGCATTACTATTTTAAAACCTCCAAATAGCTGCTAGTCTAACCTGCCCCCACCCCCATATTGATTCAATATTTTTATTAGGCAATAGGAAGTCCCCAAAAAGTTACTGAAAACAAGTATTTGGGGCCCCTTAACATTTTTCATCCAAAATAATAGAAAGAAGGGGAGTTACGGAGGCAAAAGTCAAAGGTTTGCATGATGCAGTCAGCCTTGGACAAGTCCTTGCTGTTTTCTTGGCAACATTTTGGAAGTGGTTTGCTGTTACCTTCTTACTAGGGCTGAGAGTGACTAGCTTCATGCTAAGGTTGGACTAGAACTCATTCTTCTTCTGACTTCTAATTCAACTCTCTGCCAAATACCTTAGGGGTTTACTATTTTTTTCCTAGGGAAAAGGTTATTCTTCACTTGTAAGTGATACACTCCAATACCCCCCTCCCCGCTCCCAGCCAAAACAGTAGGTAGGATCAGGACAAAAGCCTTAATGGGATTTCATTTTAATTACAATGATAATTAATTAATTCCATTAACAGTTTTTCCCCTTCCATGATATTCAAAATTTGACAACAACCTTTGGAGGTCACTAGGCCTGCACTCTTATGTTTACTAAAGGCTAATAGGATAAGTAAAGATGCATTTAAGTCAAACTCAACTCTTGACTTAAGGGCATAGCTCTGTCCATTAAGTTTGCTTAGTACCAATGCAGAAGTGGTTTGCATTATCTTCTTCAGGATGTTTTTTTTTAACTTTCCAATTAAATTTTCTGGCTTTCTGGTGGTCTCCCATCCAAATACTATCCAGCTGTGACTCTGCTTTTAACTTTTTTTTGTTTTACATTGAAGTCAGCCAGCTAATGATAAAATATTAGCACTTTAAATAAAGTGGTTTTAAAATGGTCTTCTCAATTTGTATCTTGGAAATATTTTCCAGGAGCAAGACTGATTGCATTGTGATTGCTCTGTTTTGATTTCATATCATGGGCTAAGCACAGAGACTTAGAAATGAATAATTAATACTTTTAAACAAATAAATGTTAAATAAAAGATACAGTTGAACTGGGAGTCAGGCAATATTTTGGAATTTCATTCCTTCACTTTTTCATTTTGATTTCCACCTAATAAAAACTCTGCTATTTTTATTTGAACTGCTTTAGTCACTCATTGATTTTCACCTTTTGATAAAACGTTCTAGTTACATTTGGGTTTTGTTCTTCCTCCTGGGAATTGGGATTGAAAAACAATGGTTTCCAAGAAAATTATTCCATCCAGATCTGGGCTAAACTGTGGCCCATATAATCAGAGGTGATAAAGTTGGGTTGATAATCATTCTGTTTCCTTTTAAACATACTGAACATATTTTTATAGTACACATTTGAAAATGTACAATGTTAAAGCATATCTAGGTATATGGGACTGGGTAAAGGATAGTTATGTACACATCATACACACTTACAGAACATACTTTGACACATACAAAAATACATGTCATTCCCAGATAACCTAAAACAACTTATGCAACTTTAGGAATATCTGGAAGGAAGCCCTAAAATTTACTTGAGAATTTTACAGGTTTATAGGAAGAAATTTGAACAAATTTCTCAAATCCAATACTGTGATTCAATTGCCACCAAGCTGAAACCCCATGTTCAGCTGGTATAATCTACTTTAGTGTAAGCTTAATCATATGTTAGCTACTCTAACCCATGCAATGAATCCAGTCTGTATTTATTTATTTATTTATTTATTTATTTATTTTGTCCCCCGCCCATCTCCCCCCAATGGGGGACTCTGGGTGGCTCACAACACATTAAAACAATAAATAAATAATTATTATTTATTGTAACTGTATTCTGTATCTATTAAATTAATTATAATTCCATATGCCTACATAGTATATAGCATATATACATGACTCCAAGTATACAAGGCAGAGGGCACTGAGCTATGCAGCACACAAGATGGCCAGAAGAGATGTATGTAGGCTATTATATATTCCATTGTTAATAATCTTTATTACTTTCCATATCAAGGTATTTCCTCCAATTTTTCTCTTAGAATCTGCTCTTATGCCTGGCTCAAATCAGTGGTAAAATCTGGAAACATACCTGGAATATATAATAGCCTATATGCCATCTCTTTTGGCCATCTCAAGCACCATGCATTCCTATTAGACATTCCTAAAAAATAAATCCAACTGCAGTAAAGGCAATGGTTGTGCAATTGTTTTAATATCCTGGACATTGGATCAGTTTTACTGAAGAATGAGAATATGTAGCCAGCAGCAAAGATAAGCTTAAAGTATATGATTAGGCTAATACTAATTGGTAATAGAGAATAAAAATACTTTGGTATGGATTGTTGAGAGCCAGTTTGGTCTAGTGGTTAAGGCACTGGACTAGAAAGCAGGAGATGGTGAGTTCTAGTCCTGCCCCAGCTGGGTGACTTCGGGCCAGTCAGGCTTTCTCAGCCCAACTCATCTCAGGGTTGTTGTGGGAAAATAGGAGGAAGGAATATTAGGTATGTCTGCTGCCTTGAGTTATTTATAAAAATAATAAAGGCGGGATAAAAAGAAATTAAAAACAAATAGAGAAAATGGTCAATGAAATTCTAGAAACAACTAATTAGTTAAGAGGGTGGGAGGAAATGTGAAAATCAAAAAGAAAAAGATTATGTCTAAGAAAAGGGAAAAAAACTGGAAGGTAACGATTTGTGAAATCCTAACTAATGTGTCCAAATATATTCAGTGGGTTTCCAAGTCACATGGAATGATCCATCACTGCCAAAGGGTTCTGCAAAAATGGATAGCCACAATACTTCCATATAATCTTGGCCAACTTTTACAAACTGAATAAACCATATGGGATTGGGTCTTCTTAAAATAATGGAATAGGTAATAATAGTTGGATATCACCACTTGATTTTTAACCAACAAAACTAAAAAAAAAAAAATGAAATCTGCATCGTTCCAGCATTTCAAGATTTAGCAGCAAAAATCTGATATGCATGATCATACTAGAAGGGACAATCACTGAGAGAAACAGAGACTATATTTTTGAAGTTCTCTTTCTACATACCAATAGTACACTTCAGTAACTGGTGCATTCCAGACATGTTGGACAACAACCTCAACAATTTGCTGCCATTAGCTCTGATGGGGGCTGAAGTAAAAACCTAGAGAGCATTAGATTGACACCTATCTATAGCAATGGCATGTTGTAGACAACAGCAAGGAAAGCAAGCTTTCGGCTCTTAAAAGAATGGATACTCCACTCTTGATATGAAAGAATTACCAGATGAAGCTGATGGTCATTCTTTGGATTCAAAGAATGAAGAAGTTGAAATTTGGACCCCAGGAGCAGACAAATGCAGAAATAACACCAAGCCATAGAAGGTCTTATCAATCTGATTAAGTTTTTTCTTTTTTCAGGCTGAGTTCAGGCTATCTTCTTTTATCTATACTGACATAAAGAAGAAATTTCAAGATAGAAATCTTTGTTGATTGTAAAGTAAATACCAACAGGCCATCTCATATCGTATCTGCATGCAGGGCTGAAGATAACA